CAGAGTCAAAATAAAGGGCAGCTGATCAGTGGTAAAATGAAGATATACTACACAGAATCCAATGTTACCCTCGACTGTCATTATAAGACAGTAATGACCATCATCCCAACATAAAGGCTGTAAGATCTCTTTTGGCAAGATCCTAACCACATAATGTGGTACAGCAAAGCCACAATCAAGGAGGCTCGCAAAGCATTTAATTTTCTTACGATTTACAGGACATGCCAATCAGTAGTCAACAGGGAAGTTCCCTTTTCGTAAAAAACAGGATGAGATTATACATAAAACAAAAAGAATATGTTATCATATTGACAAATAAAAACATGTTGTAGCTAAAAGCAATCCAAAGGTAGGCAACTTCAATAAAAGCTCCTTATCTCCATTTTAGGATGCAGATCATTAGTGGAAAGAATATTAATTTCTCCATTCACATTTTGATTCCTTTCCCAGCAAAAAATAAAACAATTTTTGAAATATAATCATCTTGCTTAATCAAATGTTGAGAGTCTCATTTCAACATGAATGGAATAATTAACAAATTGTGGAGATTCCAAAAACTAGAAATTAAGTTTCATTTATGCTTTAATACAAATACTCCTTTAAGGCAGGCCTTCTGAATTATGAGAGACACATTCTTTCATTTACCTTCAAAGAGAACAGAAAGGCAACACCACAATTAGTTATGCACACATGATGCAGTGGGTATTCTATAATCATCTGTTGATTTTATACATTAAATGTAAGCCATAGAGGTGAATGTGTATAATTACTAAATCTCCTGAGAAAACTGTAGGCAAGAAAGAACAATTCCTTCTTTCCCGAGATTATAAAAGGTAGTTCGAACAAACTGCTACAGAAATGAATATCACCTAGTATTAAAAACTTAATTCACCAAACCAAATTTACTGTCTCAGACATTAGTCCATTTTCTGTGCAAGAAAGTGAGGCTCTCAGTATGAATTGCATTTGAGAAACAAAAGGTTTACATTACCCATTTTAAACAAGAATTAACATGTTTTCCATAACTATACGGCAAAATGTTCTATTGCTCAGAGATTCAACAAAATCATTAAGAAAATATCTGCAGATTACACAGTTTCTACAAATTGCTCCTCAGAACCTGCTGCTTCTAATTTTAATTCAATCTTCTAATTTTATTAATATATATTTGCCATCTAAGAAATGCTGACTAACACATAAAAATCTCCCAAGAAAATCATCATCAAGTTAGCAAAGAGGAAAAATGCTCTGGGAGGAGATTAAATCTAATCTGGTTGGGTAGAAATCCCATCTTTGTCCATTATTAGCTACAGAAACTTGCCAAGTTTTTAACCTTATACTGCCTATTTCCTTGCTTTGCAAACTTAACAATGCTACAGTAAAAAAGAGAGGATTTGGCAACTGACTGAATATGACAGACATGAGAGGCATTAGAGATGACCTGGAGGTATCTTAGCCAGGTAGGTAGAGGGACATAAGAGGAAGAGCACACTCAGAGCAACCTAGAAATGGCCAGTGTCATTGGGCCAGGAGAGATGGAGACATCCACAAATGGGTAGACAACAGACAACCAGGAATGTGGGTTCAGAGACAAAGAAAGATTTGTAGATCATCCACACAGAGATTACGGGAATCACAGCCATGCCTAGTATCAACATCTGTTTTCAAAATATTTTATAAAATGTCATTTTATTTCAAAACACATCCATGACATCAGTAAACCCCTGAAATTATGCACTGCCTCTGCTGCTGATGCCGACGAGGACAGGATGACAGTCATGGAATCTTAGAGAGCACTTGCTGCCTGTTTGATATATGATCCGTCCATGCGATTTCCACCACTAAAATGTCATAATTATAGAGTGGAGCTCCCATTTTCAGGACAATCAGAAAGACGTATGTGCGATCCATTTTTAACTTTAACCTCAAATCTGTTGCTAAAATTCCAACTGTGCTGTTGGTTCTTATCGATCTTGCAGTGAGAAAACTGTGACACCGTGGAGCTCTGCAGACTCCTCTTTGGCTCCTCCAGCCCTCTCAGCGACACACACGTCCTTCATGGTCACTGTGACCTCGGCTCGCCCTGATGGCCTGTACCGTCCTCCTCTGATCAAAACTGTCTATTCAACAACAAAAACCAGAGAAGACCCTCCTACAACAACTGCTGCTGAGTAAGAGGATGACCCAGTCAGTCACCAAGTGAGGCCCTGGATCAACTCCCTCGGGCTCCAGTCCAGAGAGGCCCTCCGACCATCACAGGGCAGTGGCGCGGCCACCATTCCCAAACCGTTTGTCCAGTTTGATTTTTTTAAAAACCGTTCCTCCAAAAACAAAGTGGCCTTTTCAAAACTTAATTTTCATTTTTTAATTTTACTTCTTTTTTTTTTATCAAACTGGCTTCACTGTCTCTTTCTTCTTCTCCCTTCACCCTGAAGGCCACCTTGCTAATTATTCCAGAGTAAAGTTTCTGTCACACAAACAATAGTATACAATCCCCAACCACAAAGCGATAGCTAAATAAATGCTTATAAAACAAATCCATGACTAAGAAGCCAATTAACTCAGTGAGTCCAAATCCCCTGAAAGTCTGAACAAGCAGCCCTCCCAGCTGTGCCTGAGGGACACTGTCAGCTGGCTCCCAGACCCCACAGGACAGGCACGTGGACCTAGAATACTAATATGTCAGCACATTTAAGAAAATAAGGGAGGAAAATGAAGACCAAAGACCAACATGAACTTTACATTCCTTTGCTCTCATTACCCAATCCCCAAAGCACAGGAGCATAAAATATAAATGATCCTTTCACGCAGAAAGGCTCGAACATTAACCTTTCCCGAGTCTATTACCGGAGTTTACCGAGGAGCACCCATCCAGGTTTCAGGCAAATTTTACTGTGTTTTTTGTTTTCACCATAAAAACTAATTTTGATAGTTTTGAAAATGAAACCAATTTTCATTTCTTAAAATATTGGTTGCTCTCATCTGAAACTAATGTCAAATAATATTAAATGTAAACTGTAACCGAAAAGTAAAGTTAAAAATACAAATATCAGTTGTTCTCAATTTCTACATTTAACATCTGGAAATTACAAATGACTTTCTTTCTCGAATGTAAGTTGTTCTCCACAGCTGAACCCATGTGCCTAATACATGGTCGACAGTAGGTACTTATTGAAGGAAGGAGTAAACCTGTATTTCAACTGCTATTTCGACAGAAAGGATCTGGTGTATGAGCACCTGGAGGCTGTCTGGACGGGAGAGGAAAGACGTACCGGCGAAGCAGCTCACTGCGGACTTGTCGAAGAGCACAGGACCTTTGAAAACTGAACTGGGAAGCCGGCCTCTACCTTACACTCTCAGTCGTGGCTGCCGGGGCAAGACCAGGCAGCAGATGCCGAGTGGCCACTGGTCAGGGAAACGACGCTCCCCGGCTGCAGGCAGGGCACGCACAGGAGCCCGCCAGTGCCCAGGCCCCGCTCCGGCAAGGGGCCGCCAGCCGCCAGCCTGTCAGCACACGCATGCGGCTGGTGTGAAGTGGGGTCAGCTGGTGTCAAATACAAACCACACTTGTGAAGACAAGGACCCAAAAGAACACACAACATACCATTGAAAAATTATTTTATATTAATTACACATTTAAATCATATTTTGAATATACTGGTGTAAATAAAATAGATTATTACTGCCCTGGCCGGTTTGGCTCGGCGGTTGGAGCATTGGCCTGCGGTCCGAAGATACCCGGGTTCGGTTCCCGCTGGGGGCACGTACCTCGGTTGCAGTTTGACCCCGGCCCTGGTTGGTTGTGCGGGTGGCAGCCACTCGATGTGTCCCTTTCACGTCGATGTTTCTCTCTCTCTCTCTGTTCCTCTCTCTCTCTCTCTCTTTCCCTCCCTCCCTCCCTCCCTCGCTCCCTCCCTCCCACTTTATCTGAACAAAATATCGAAAAATGTCCTCGGATGAGGATAAAATAAATAAAATAGATTATTACTTTCATCCATTTCTTTTTAGTTCTCCTAAGGTGACTTAGAAATTGTAAAAATGTTTATGTGGCGTGCATTATATCTCTACTAGGCAGCTCCGATTTAGGCCGAAAATAAAGGAGTCTGGATGCCACCAGGAGTCCACTGAAAAACTGACAGCAGGGTCTGATTCCTCCCTTCTCAATCTATGACTAGAGAAACCGGTTAAATTTTCTGCCTTGTATCAATGCACCATCTCCCTTAAAGAGACACAACAGCACCAGGACCTCCACACAGTAGCCTGGATGTGGAGACAAGAAACCCGAGGCACTGGTCAGAGCCAGAGCAGGTTAATGGAGGGCAAACACTGAGCCAAAGCGACTTGACTCTGGAATACATGTTCTACCCCTTTCTCTCCTCCCATCACTCAGAGGGGACTTTTCCCATGTTCTAAGAGTTTTAGAAAAGGATGCTAATGACCTTTCCTGACTGACCCTGCCATGGGCTTCTCTCTGGCACTCCATACCCTTCAACCACATTCCTCCAAGCCAGTAAACCACAAGTAGAAACAAAATCAGGAAGGTTACCTTGGAGCGGCATCCCCCATGCTGCCCTCTCCTGTAAAAGGAGTTTTCTAGCCCTGGCCGGTATGGCTCAGCGGTTGGAGTGTTGGCCTGTGGTCCAGAGACACCTGGGTTCAGTTCCCACTAAGGGCACGTACCTTCGGTTGCAGTTTGTCCCCGGCCCTGGTTGGTTGTGCGGGTGGCGGCCACTTGATGTGTTCCTTTCACGTCAATGTTTCTCTCTCTCTCTCTCTCTCCCTCCCACTCTATCTTAATAAAATGGAAAAATGTCCTCAGGTGAGGATCAAAAAAAAAAAAGTTTTCCAAATGGGGCCTTTTGCCTTTGCAACTCCAAGTTCTTTGCAGCATCTGTCACTGTTGGTATGACCCACAACAAAGCAACTTAACAGATGGGAAAGAGCTGCCTGTCAGTTCACATGTCTGGGCCCATGTGCTGCACCTGGAGGAGTTAGCTTACTCAGTTTCTTGGCGGCCTCCAATGCTTCGTTCGCAGTGTCCACTACAAAGAACCTCTGAACTTTCACTCCATTATCAGCCATCAGTTTCTTGCTCTGGTATTCCTGCAGGTTCAGCCATCGCCGGGGGGTTAGCTGAGTTGCCTAGAGAAATCAGGGGAGAGAGAAAAGAACGCTTATCAATAACAAGAGAAGCCCGGCCAGTGTGGCTCAGTGGTTGAGCATCGACCCCTGCACCAAGAGGTTGCTGGTTCAATTCCCGGTCAGGGCACATGCCCAGGTTGTGGCCCCGATTCCCAGTGGGGAGCATGCAGGAGACAGCCAATCGATGTACTCTCTCATCGAAATTTCTCTCTCTCTCCTTAAAAAAAAAATCAATAAAAAGAAAACAGATAAACAACAAGAGAGATAATAGTCAACCTATATGGCCAGTTTCACAGGTACCCTCACATGGCAATCAGCAACTCAGATTTTAGACAAAAAAATAAATCTATCCAAATTCTTCATGCTAAATCAAAATGTTAAGGATGACACACACAAATGCATCCAAGTTATAAGAAACTATGAAAACTCAGTAAGATCTGTGTCTAGTTAACAGTAATATGTCAATGTCGTTTCCTGGCTTTGACACTGTACGGAAACTATGTAAGATGTCAACATTAGGGAAGCTGGGTGGAGGATACCCGGGCTCCTGCACTATTTCCAGCTCCCTGGTTTCTGTCCAGGGCTCAGTGGCCCTCCACGGAGGTCTCAGCCAGGGGAGCGCCTCAGGCTTTGCCAGGGGCTGTGAGCGTTCAGCACCTCTGATGTGTCCTGAAGATGGTACTCTGTCCTGGAACCGCACGGCTACAGCGATGCACTCGTGCAGCTCTTCTGGACGAGGGTCATTCCAAAGAGGCCCCAGCACCTTGCAGTAGATGGGGTTCTGATCAAGGACAGTGCGTGTCTTCCTCTTCTCTGTGTCTTAATGACGAATGTGACAGTGCGTGGCATATGGAAGATCCTCACAAAATACCAGCTAGCTGTCCAGATGAATAAACCCTGACTTCTGTACCTTTGTCCCCTTTTTCATACCCAGAAAGTGATCTTTTCTAAAAATAGAAAAGTCCTTCAGACCTGAAATAAATGTAATATAACTTATGCACACTTTTAAAAAATTCAAATTTTGACACAATTAAACCTAAAGATATTTCTCTATTCTATCTTTGTTAATATTGAAAATGATGTTTTCAATACTGAAGTTGCCTGCACTTCTTTAGAAATAAATATACTGGGATAAAAGTAAATCACCAATTAAGCAATGTCCACGTCATTCACTGAATATTATACAACTGTATATGATTTGTAAATCTTCTAAACTTTTAAGTCTTGATAAAACATTAATAATTTTAAAAATATAAAATTTCAGAAAAGAACATATTTATTGTCTCAATAGTCTTAACAGCAAAGCACATAAATATATCAAGAAAAACTCAAGTTTTAGGTGTTTAGTGAAAGCTCCCTAAAGAAAGAAAAGCTTGTACATTAGATATGTGCCATATTCTGGGACCACTTTTAAAAGGCAAATGGGGAAGGATCACGAGATTAAGTCTATGTTCACATACCAATTTAAAGCAGTTAACAAAAGAAGAAGAAAAAACACAGCTTAAGAAGAACATTTGAGAGAGACTTAAAACAGCCACAGTGTGGTCACAGTCAATTCCTCTTCATTAGAACACTCACTGTATTAATTCTAGATATTTTAATGCAATCTGCTACAAACTACTTGCAAATGATCCAGGGACCAGCTCCAGACACATGACGCAGCCCAACAGCGTCTGCGCTGACGGAAGGGAAGCCTGCTGAAAGTCAGTTGCTCTTAAACTGAAAACTAACACAGTGAATATAGTTCTAAAGCCACTGCTGATTCCAAGCTATCACTCCACAAAGTGGTCAATAATCACTTGTGTTTGTCAACCCTAAACTTGAAAGAATAGGGTTGCTGACAGGGTCAAAAACTTCATTAACTCAGCTTCATTCATTAAAAATTTGCACTATTTCTAGAGAGGAACAACTTAAGTCTACTTTTTGCATTTTCAGGGGGAAGGAAAAAGGAGAGGAGACATGCTAAGCAGATAGATGGTGTGAAGTATGCTGGAAATGTCATCAAATGCTGAATGATAATAACAATAATGTTACGAGTTCCTTCTTTTGTTAATTAAGCACTTACCATGTGTTAGGCATCGTACTAAACACTCATGAATCTAACAATCAAAACAATCATGAAAAGTCAAGTATTATTAGCTTTCTCAATAGCTGTCATTAATGCAAACCAACAACCATCCCTAACCTTCCTTCATCCAGGCATTTCCTTGCCTTAGCTGAAGTCAGATGAGGCCTTGTAACGAGCTCTGGCTGATAAGTCGTGAGTACATATAGTGTGTGACACATCTGGGCCAACGTTGAATTATCAACACTCCCACCCATAAAGTCATGTCTCTCTTGACCTGGGGAATGGCAGCACTCGGGACGGCAGCTGCCGTACCAGCCAGGGGCCGAGGGGGACCGACACATGCCTAGGTAACTCACAATGAATGTGTGGGGAAAAATAAACCTTTGTGAATTTTCAGCCCCTGAGATTCTGGGGATTATGTGTTACTGTTGTAGAACCTAGTCTATCTATAGAACCTCTCCTAAATAAGGGAACCAGGCTGAAGGTTAAGTCACTGCCCCAAGATCACAGGAGGCTGCCAACAGCAAAGCTGCTCTGATTGACGGTATTGATCACTGTGTAATACTGCTGGGTGCCTGCATTTGGATTCTGGCCCCACAAACCAGACCCTTGGTGATAAAGTCAGACTGGGATGAGTAAGATCATGTTTCTGTCTTCAAATGGCAACAGGAGCAGAACCCTCAGGAAATGCTGGCCCGGCACGTATATGGAAAAGTGGAACTGCTTCAGACTTTGGGAGAGAGGGAGGTGGGGGTGTGAGCGGGTGCTGTCCTAAGACACTAGAATGGTAAAGGTCATTATTTCAATTCCTAGGAGGAAAGATACCTGTTAAAACCCTAGACTAGCCCTGGCTGGTTTTGCTCAGTAGTTAGAGCATCGGCCCGCAGACCAGAGAGTCCTGGGTTCAGTTCCTGCTAAGGGCACGTACCTCTGTTGCAGTTTGTCCCCAGCCCCAGTTGGGGTCGTGTGGGTGGCAGCCACTCAATGTGTCTCTCTCACATCGATGTTTCTCTCTCTCTCTTCCTCTTTCTCTCGCTCCAGCTCTATCTGAAGATAAATGCAAAAATGTACTTGGGTGAGGATAAAAATAAATAAACAAACAATAAAACCCTAGACTAATACCTCACGGCAGAAGTCAGGCTCTCGCGGGGACTCCATGAACTCTGGGACAGGAGCAATGGAAGGGAGTTGAGAGATCATCTGCGGCAGGGCCTTCCCGTGCTTCCTGCAGTTATCCCCGGCTTGCCCCAGTGCCCCATGCTCTTGTCCATCCAGATTCTGCTAAATCTGAGGCTCTGTTCGGAGACTGGACAGGCTTTGTCTTCTTCTTCTGAGTCAGACGGCAACCCCGGCAGTGACCACACCTCCTCTGAAATTCCAGCCCCCTACTCCTTCAACAACCCTTTCCTCTGCGATTCCTGCGCCACCATCTCCTCACCACGCCTCCTGTACCCATCAGCTGGCCCTGACCTCCTCACACCGTCTCCTTCTGCTGCTGGGCTCAGAGGCTTCCTCCAGCTGCGCATGTCTGGGCTGCCTCCCCAGCCCTGGCTGCCTTCCCCTGATTCTAACCCTTTGTAACTATGTTTGTTTCCCTGTTAAATTCTGTTAAAAGACCTGAGGTTCCACGGAGCCTGCAGGCGCCCCTTCAAGCTGGAGGAGCAGAAGGAAGCAGCAGTGGCCCGCGTATGAAGGCGACACTGGTGACATGGAAGCCCACTCTGCACAGTTTCCCAGGCAGGCATGTCTCAGATTCCAGGTATGAAGAGACAGCTGGGGTCCACGTCCTCATTTTACAGTCAGGAATCTGGGCCTAAAGAGGGATTTAACATGCCTTGGGATCCTATAGGGAGCCAGAGGCAGGATGGAAACTGGACAAATTCCAATTTTCATTCCCTTCCATATGGATTTTGGCAAAGGGAGCATACTAGAAACAGCATCATATTCTCAAAACAGGGAGGTAGGTGGGCGCCTCAGTTGGTTTCCTTGGGACTTGTACGCTGACCTCCTGTTCCCTCACTGCCGTGTCCCTGAAGGAGCAACCATTTCTAAGCCAGAGTGGGGAGGACAAAATGCAGCTTAAAAGAAAAGCTGGGCATAAAGACTGAAGGGCCTACAGGGAACAAGGGAGCAGAGGCAGAAGGAAAAGGAGGAAAATGAGTAGGGGACAGACTGACAACCCTCAGAAGAGGGGGAGGGAGGAGGAAAGAAATAAACCACAGAACTTACATGCATGTACGCACAACCGATGGACATGGACAACAAAGCTGGGGACAGAGTGGGGGGGATGGGGAGGAGGGTGTCAATAAGGAAAAAAGGAGAAACATCTGTAACAAAAGTAAATTAGTAAAAAAAAAAACTCTGGCAACCAGGACAGCTATTTGGGGGGAAAAAAGTAGGAAAAAGGAAAGGACAAATAGAACCAAGAGATAAAAAGACTAGTGGGAAAAAATTCACCAAAAACAAAAAATCAAAGCACAAAATTAGACAGCTACACAGAAACAATGACAGGACTGAGAAATCATCCTTGGCCCCATGGTTTTAAAAAGAGAGGCGTAGAGACTTATGAAATAGCACCACAGGGGGAGAAAATCAACAAAATCAACACGGGGAGTCTAGAGAGCAACATCATTGAGCTGGGCGCCCCCAAGGGAGAATCTGGGAGCTCCATCTGCCCACGGGCTCCGAGCGTGGCCTTCAGCCTGAGTTTCTACAGCAACACTGCTTCAGCAGGAAAGCAGGATGAAGAGTGTTAGCAAGAGCCAAAAACTTACTAGTAATCAGGAAAATAGAAAGGAAAACAGAAATTAAAACAAAAATGAGATGCCATCCTGCCAAAAGGAATGAGGGTTTGATGATGTCAGTATGCAGGCACAGTGACCTGTTTGCTCATACACTCCTCGTGCAAATCACACCAGTGCAATGACCTTCA